TAGGAGGTTTCTTAGGTTGTAGAATGTGTGAAGGAATGCTGCTTGGTATTTGTGAACAGGACAGGGTTATGGGCGCGGATTGTAGCGTAGGATGTAGTTGCATCCTCCGGTTTAGGCGGGATCTTAACTCCTTTGGGGAGTTGGACATAGCTTTTCCCGGCACTCCGATTCGGTCCCTTAGTGTTGGCAGTCTTTTTAAAGGCAGAAAAATTTTCTTCTTCTTTATTTTCTTCGGACTCATGGGATGAAGAACAAGCTGTATCGGAGTCCTGTTCTTGGTCGTCACCAAGAGTGGGGTCATCTGCATCGGCTTCTTCCTCGGCCTCCAGCAGGTCATGCACAACAAAACGGTTGCTGCCCTTGAACCGGTTGCCGCCCATGGGCTTTTTGCTGCCTGCCGTGCTAACGAGGTCCATAGCCTCCAGACTGACTACGTCCTTCATTAAGGTGAGCCAGTCAGTGTATGCAATGTAGTCCCTGCCCAGGCGACTAGTGACGTTAGTTGGAACCGCGCCCTTAACCACATCCAAGCAAGATTGAGCGGACAATTCTAAACCAGGAGTGGCAAACAACTTGCTTAGATAGGTCTGCAGGCTTTTCATGGAGCCATTCCACTTGCTGTGCTTTACTTTGCCAAGTTGAATCCTTGCTTTAGCAGCAACATATGGGTCTTGGTATTGTGAGATAAGGAGGTCTTCGAGGGAGGCAACCGGGGTGGTGCTTAGCCATTTGGCTAGTGCAGCCTTTGGGAACCCAGCCCGTGTCGCTTGGACTTCTAGGAAGCCCCGTACGACTGGCTCGACATTCATTCCCATGATCACCGCCTGGGTCTCAGTTTAAGTCCCAGAATCTCAAAGTAGGCCCTCATGGAGTCGATCCAGGACTCGATGTCTTCTTTGCCATCGTACTTGGACAGCATTTGAACCGCCTTTCGGTCCACATAGGGACCAACGTGGCTGGGACCAGCAGCAGCTAGTTCCGGTCTTGGGGCTGCAGCAATTGCAGAAGTTCCAGCCTCATTGCTTGTTACAGCAACAGTGGAATCTGCACCTGCTGCAGGTCCCGAGGGGATTGCCATCACACTCGAAGAAGAGGTAGAAGAAGATACAGTAAGAGGGGTAGAGGTAGTTTCGATTGCAGCTTCAGATCCAGGAGGTAGAGGAAGAGGGTTGGCCACTTGGGCTTGTCGCAGGTCAGCCACCTCCTTTGTCAATTCACGGTACTTGAGGGTCATCTCAGTCAGATCATCATGAAGTGTCTGCAGCTTTGCAAAGACTTCAGCGATCTGAGTGGCATGGTCCTCACGATTCTTGATCTGAACAAAGGCTGTGAGGATGGACTGCAGCTGTTCCCCGCACTGCTCTTCAGTCAGTGAGGGGACAGTCTCTAGGAGGGCCACTTGCCTTTTTCGCAAGGTCTCCTTCCTCTCCTTCTCTATCTCCTGTTCCTGTTTTATTGCACCATCTAAGAGTGCTTGCAGATGAGGTTTCTCAGCATCACTGGCTCCATCTAACAAGGCCCGCCATTGCATTGAAGTAAGCTGGGCCATTTGCGGACTGTCAATATGGACAGGTGGGTTAGAGAGTCGCCAGTCAGCAAAAGAATCAATCAGACTCTCAAGAGGTTCACTCCCCTTCCCGCTTAGACGAACACTCCTTTTCTCAGTCCTTGCCCACTTCAGACAATCACTTTCCCTCTCTCCCTGTTCTCTCTCCCTTCTCTCTCTCTTCTTTCAGATTGCGAGTCTCCATAGGCATCGGAAATGAACTCAGAAAAACAGATAAAGCTCAGAGAAGAGAAGGTAGAACTCCTAGCCGGAGCGACATTTCATTTGGAAGTAGAGAACAGAAAAAGAAACAGTCAAACTCAAAGAGAGGTCTAATCCAGCGACCCAGTCTGATCAGACTGCATACGAGGTCCTCTCGAGTCCAGTCTGACCAGCTCCGTGTCCGTACAACAAATCAGGCAACGAGTAACCACATGCAACAATGGAGAATTGAGTGGTGTACAGGGTGCGAGTCAAGCCACGGATGGTGCAATCAGAATACAAGCGAAACGTCAAAGCCAAGATCCCCTCGGCAGTGGGTGTCCTAATCCAAGAAGAATGAACTCAAATCCCAACCAAGAAGACAAGAGGTCAATGCCTAACCGATTTGGGTCCAGAGGCTCTCCTTGTTTGGGCCCGGTCCCACTGGGTCCCAAGGGTCCCGCTTGGTCCCAAGGGTCCCACGTAGGTCTCAACCAGGTCCCAACCAAGAGGAGTCCAGAACCTACAGACTACAACCGTTCAATGATGAAAAGACAAAGCACTGTAGAAAGACTCGGCATGTATAACAAGATACTTCATTTTCTATCCATCAGGTGAGTAGGTAGATCACATGCATTCAGTCACACAATCAAGACCACAGAGGAGTAGGAAAAGAAACCCAGGGTACTCCAACAGGACAATCAATACCATACACACATACATGGGCATCCCGTAGGTGCATGACACTTACCTGAGTGGCCTTCAGCTTCGAGATGAAGAGAACTCACCCCCCTTCTCATATGGTCCTCCAGACCCATCTAACGCTACCCCTACACTAGTGTCCTATCTCCTAGGAGGGTCTGACTCCAGCACCCAAGTGCAACGTCGGATCCCCCGTCGATGTTGAAGATCAAAGTAGCAACTTGCAGTCCGTTGATGCAGAATGGCCGTTGACCCTCAAGCTCGCCTAAGGGCAGCCCTTAAGTTGCCAAGTGTCTCCCTTGAATTAGATTCCAGGTGCGAGTGGGTCTCACTGTCGCCTCTCTCAAATCGCCGCATGAAGTCTCCTCGAAATGTCTCGCCACCCCAATCTCACTCTCAAGCAACCTGGTTAGGTTCTATGTTGACCCCACATGACCTAACCAGATGGGGGCAGCTTCCCTTAGCCACGCTGCCCCACTTCCCTCAACCATCCAACCCTAACCCTAAGTGTTGCCCTCAACCACTTAGGTTAGGGTTAGGGCAGCAAAGTCAACTCTCACCAGCAAGTAGAATCCGCTCTAATACCAATGTTATGACCCTGGCCAATTTCGAGATGCGCATCCACTGGAAAATACAATGCCATCCAATCGCAGAAAGAAATGAATGAACTTGAGAGGAGAGAGAGGAGTAGAAGAATAAGAAGAAGAAGAAAGAAAGAAGAAGAAGAAGATGTACACCAGCAAAGACAATGACAAGGCTCTTCTTCTTCGCCCAACAATCTCCTCCTCCTTATCTCCCCCTTCTCTTATTCATTCAAGAAATAATAATACAATGTTGAATGACTGGTCCAAAATCATGTCCGAGTCCCTTTTCTACTACAGGTATCACTCAAGGTCCACCATAGCCATGGCCGCCTCTCCCACTCTTCACACACATAGGCCGAGGCTATGGCGGACTACTAGCCCTTGCTCCGATGTCCAAAGGACAACTCAAAGCAGCTATGGCTGCTCCAGCTCAGGCCGCCATGCCCAGCCCTGCCTTGAAGTTTCTTGGTGTAGCTCCCCCCGGCTAGGGACTCCTTGCTGCAGCACCCACCAAGGTGATGAAGATGGCTGCCACCATAGCCGGGTAAGTACCCCTGGCGCTCCTCCCCCTTCCTCCTTCCTTCCTCCTTCTTCCTCCCTCTAGTCCTTTTTCTTCCTCCCCAGCAGCGCAGCTCCAACCCAGCGCTGCTCCCTTCAGCGCTCCACCAGTGTGTCGCCAAACTTGCACACCGAAAAGAGGCCGGGTCTTCCGCCCGGCCTGAAGATATAGCGGCCTGCTTTGCCTCTTGGGCGGTGACTTCCAGGCCGCTGGCCTTCCCAAGCAACCGGTACCTCCTCCTCTTTTGGAGGGAAACATCATTGCAGACTCTGATATTGCCCCTGCAGGCCCTAGACTCAGACTGGTACCCGCTAGACCTAGCCTACACTACCGGCCTCTAAAAATGCCACTTTTGTCTTCTGCTCGGCCTCCGGTACCTGCATATTTATCCGCCTGCCGGGTGCGGTACCGGCCTACCAGCTACTTGAGTGCTTTTTCCCCACTGTAACCCTTCGAAGCCACAGCCACAGGTAAGTACCGGCCCTGAGGGCCCAACGAACGAACAAGTGCCCTGGCGGGCCACACACACACTCATACCAACCAGCACTAAGACAGGCATAGTCACACACAAGCAAGCCAACCAACACTCAGACAGACATGCAGTCCAGCAAGCATACACACACACACAGACTTAGCAGGCGGGGACTCGGTAGGGCATTCAGTCTATGAGCAAAACTCAGAAATCAGTTGTGTGTTTCAGTCCGTGTTTGGACGGGTTATCACATGGCATCTTTTTGCTCATATACTCGATAGGTCTCAACTTGGGCCTCTCCTTTTGCGCAAGGACCGCGCCTATGCCATATTGGCTGGCGTCTGTGGTCACGACAAACGGCTTATCAGGATCAGGAAGTTTAAGAACCTCATAGTGTGTTAAAGCGTACTTCAGTTTCCTAAAGGCTGCCTCACACTCTTCAGTCCACTCCCAAGGGGTGTCCAGTCGAGTTAGATCTGTCAATGGGGAAGCTATTATACTATAGTTCTTCACAAACGGACGATAGTAGCCCGTCATCCCCAAAAACGATCTGACCTCAGTAATAGTCTGAGGTTTGGGCCAGTCACGTATGCTGGCCACCTTGGCATCATCCGACCTCAGTCCATCCGTTGAGATTTCATGACCCAAGTACAAGATCTTGGTGCGACCAAACTCGCATTTTTCCAAGTTAACCTTGTACTGGTGCTGTCTTAGGAGACCTAGCACTGTTTTCAAGTGCTCAACGTGCTCCTCTACAGTCCTACTAAAGATGAGAATATCGTCGAGGTACACGACGATAAACTTGTCTAAGTAGTCATGAAAAATCATGTTCATCGCGTGCTGGAACGTACCAGGTGCATTGCATAGTCCAAAGGGCATCACCACAAACTCGTACAGACCGTACCTGGTCTGAAATGCGATTTTGTGTTGATCCTTTGGCCTAATGGCAATTTGATGGTATCCGGACTTCAGATCTATCTTGGTGAAGTACCGGCATCCCTGCACTCTATCCAAGAGGTCGTCGATGTGCGGTAGGGGCTCCGCATTCATAACGGTGATGGCATTGAGGCCCCTATAGTCAATGCACATCCTTAAGGTACCTCCCTTCTTAGGTACGACTAGCACTGGAGCGCCGTAAGGGGAGGTACTAGGCCGTATCCATCCCGTCTCTGTGAGCTCCTTGAGCTGGCGGCGAAGCTCATCTAACTCCGCGGGAGACATCCTATAGATTCGTCCTCTAGGCACCTTGCTACCTGGGACAACCTCTATCGCATGTACGACCTCCCTTTCCACCACGCCTGTGGGCTCCTCAAAAAGGTCTGAATATTGTGCGACGACTCTTTCTATCTCTGGGGGTGATTTAACGGCCTCCCCTTTCTTAGAGACAAAGACTAGATACGTGCCCTCCTCTCAATTCTGCTTATAGTAGTTATAGAAGGATGAAGCGCACATACACCCGTAGTTTTCTATTAGACTGCTAGCTTTATACTTCTGCAATCTAACAGTTCTACCATTGGGCAATTTGTGGATCAACACCTTTCTATCCCAGTCTGCTAAGCCGCTGCACTTGGTCCCCTAAGCGCAGTTTATCCACACAAGCACGACTGATGAAATTTCGTGTAGAGCCTATATCTGCGAAGGCGCCAACCTTGCGGCCACCTACATCTACTTCTACCACGAAATGTTCACCCTTTGGACCTCTACTGATCATTGCCCAAGAGTCCCTGGGGTCCTTCCCTGACCACTCAGTCTCTAACTCTTCTAGGGCCTCAGACACATCTATCGAACAGAGCGTCGGTGGGTCTGAATGTGTCTGCGGGGCGATGTGTGGGTCTCTAGCCTTGGCCAACGCCTGAAGTGGGGAAGGCAACGTTACCACTTCAGCGTGAAGAGCGACTAACACTCCTATTGGCCCGAGGAGTTTCCCTGAGAGCTGCTTGCAGAAGCACTACCAGGGTTCGAAGATAAGCCCACCACTGCTGGTGATGCTACCTTCGTGGTGACCTTTTTGCCTCGTCATGTTCGCGATGTATGGCCATAATTGCCACAGTTCATGCAAGTGCCCCTATCAACTCGGTCCCTCCACACCTTGTAATCCAAACCAATCTTCACCCATGCGGGTGTCCCTTGGTCTCCCTGACCCGTGGACCGTACTACCTTCTCTTCTTCCGGTCCCCCTAGCCTTTTCTTTGATGGGTGCCACGACTCCACCATCTGAAGTCTCACTAGCCCCATCCTGCTCTGTCAACGCCCCAAGGTCTGGGAAATCGTCAATCTCAGTCGTTTGACCATCGTGGTCAACGAACATCAACCGACCCTTCTTCTTCCAGTCTTGGGGCAGTCTCTTCCTACCATCATGAGATGCCTTATGCGCAGATCCCAGCTTTGCGTCTATGTCCAGAGCTTTCTTACCCTAGGTAGCGAAGGTGTGCTGGTCGACATAGGCCTCATCAACCAGCTAGGCACCTTAGGTAATCCGTCAGGAGAACCTGCTGGTCAAAGCGCACACCAGGTACCACGAGTAGACGCTCTACGGTATCCGTGAGCTCTCTAACATCCTTGAACCTACGGACACAAAGATTGTTGATAGCATCGGTGGCCTTCTGTGCCCCTTGCGGGTCATGCCACCTGTTATACACGGACCGTACGAACTCTTCCAATGTCTGGGCCTGTGCCCAGGCATCGAAGTTTTGACCGTAGCCCTGCTGCTGCACTAGACCATTCAACCAGCGGGCTGCTGACCCCTCTAAAAAGGAGGCAGCCACTACCACTTCGTGCTCTGGCCTTGTGAGCTTGTACCTTACATAAGTTGGCACAATCCTGACCCAGGTGTCTAAGTCCTCATCCTTCTTCCTATCACCAGAGAAGGGCTTGGGACTCATCAAAGGTATCTTAGGCATCCACTGCATAGGCTGCATGGGCCCAGGGGCTTGCTGCAGCGGCTGCATAGCCACTGAAACAGGCTGTTTCACACTAACCTGGGCCTAGCCTGACAGTGGGACTGTAGTAACCACTGTCGTAGGTGGTACGCCTGAGACTCCATGAACCGGACCACTAGCTGCTACTAAGCCACCTTGAGGGGGTATGCCAAACATAGGAGAGAAAGTTTGCCCTGTGTGTTGCGGCATCGATGAAGGACCCGCACCTGCAAGGGGAACTACAGCAAACTGCGGCTGCCTCACTGTTGTGCGAGGAGCCCGAAGTTCAGCCAGGATTTGTTTCTGGCCTGCCACCAATTCGTCCAGCAATTCCTACTGGACGTTCTGCACTTCAGCCACTGAAAGTAAAGCATTACGCAGCACACGAACAGCAGGGTCGAATGCTGCCTCATCTAGTCCTTCCAGTCTGCCTAGCTCCTCTCTTCTACTACCTAGTCTAGCTTTCCTCAGGATTGCTTTTCTTCTCCTCTCTGCTGCCTCGTCAAACTGCTGCTGTAGCTCATCCTGAAGTTCTTCTGCTTGCCGGATTTCTAAATCCTCCGGCACGAGTTGAGTCTGCTGGCTGACTCGCAAGCTAGCAATCTGACTAATGGACCCCTGAGAACCACTCTGATTGACTCCTGACGAAGTGGACTGTGAAGAGGTTTGCGACATGGTAGATGAAGTTGCCATGGCTTCACCGGTGCTAGCTGAAATTCTAGTCCTTGCACTATCCTCAGCTGCCCTCACTCTCCTTGCCGCTGCTCTCTCTCTAGCCTCTCTCCGCAATCTTCTCTCGTCTCCTGGACCTAACTCCAAGAATGTCAAGGGTCGACTACGAGCAGTCCTACGAGTAGTCCTACGGTCGTCCACTAACAACTCCTCACTAGTGCTTGCATCACTTATGAGCTACAGTGTGTGTGATCTAAACTAGAATCCACACTGAATCCTACCTTAGCCTGACACACAACCGATTATGAAACACAAATAATTTCAGTCGGATGGAACAGAAACAGTTAGGTGATATAGTAACAACTAATGTCAGATCCTACAGGATATATTAAATCTATTTTTAGATTACCCTAGAACAGATTGCTATGTAGCAAAGAACTTAATCTATCTGCAGTTGTCTATCAATTCTTAGTCAAGTCTGTAACAACTAGATAATCAAAATAAAAATAACATATGTTGGAGATGTATGCTTGATGGCAGATTGTCTGTTGATTGCCACCGCGAACAGTTATCGGAATCCCCCCTCCCCCTGTATCCTTCTTGAGTGGTCTCTTTGTGTCAACGTCCTGAGCATCTGGTTGAGTTGTCTGTTGATTGCCACCACGAA